GCTGGCAAAGTTGGGGTTTGAAACCTGGTCTTCCTGGACCTAGACCCCTGGGAAGACAGGAAACTGTACAGTGAGGCAGGGGGAGGGGAGCAGGGCACCGCCAGGGATTCTGCCTCAATGCCCCCCTTTGTGTGGGGGCTGGGAGGGGCTGCGGTTACCTGACCCGCCCAGCCCAGGGCCAAGCCTCAATGCAACCTTTCAGTGCCCACCTCCCCCTGCAAGAGAGGAGGGGCTGCCCGGACCACTTGGGGCCTATCCCCTCCCCTTGCCAGTCTGCCGACCAAGGCTCACAGAGCAGCATGGGGGAGGATCCCTGCTGAGCCAGGACTGGAGAGGGAGAGGTAAGACACAGTAGGGGTCCTGCCCGTTGCCCCTGCTCCCTCAGCCCAGACTACCCCCAAAGCCCATCAGACCAGGACAGGCCAGGACAGGCCAAGCTGCCTGTGGGACTCCTCTGTCCAGCTGGGGCCAGACAGCTTGGGTACAGTGCACTGGTCCCTTATCTTTCTCAGGCACCTTGGGGATCTACAGGGTAGAGCTTAGCGCCACCCCACCCCCACTCCCAGCTAAAGGCTTGAATTCTCCTCCATCTCCACCTCTTCCCCCTCACTCCCCCAGGAAGGAGATGGGGTCAGCATTCTATGGTACAAAGAGGTGGCTGACCAGCCGGCTGCCTGCTGGCTGTGGTTGGGCAAATCTCGGAACCTGTTTTTGCCTCTAAAATAAGAGTCATCATTCCTGGGCTCCCTAGGTTGGCATTATGTGTGTGTATGTATGTATACGCACATGCATGTATACGTATTATATACATATGTGTATATACAATGATTATGTATAATTATATAATCATAATTCCTGGAATGGGAAATGGGTAGGGGGAGGAAGTATTTTAACAGCGTCATCTTGTTCTTGGAAGGAGCTGATCCTGGTCTGAGAATTCTGGTCCCTGGGGCAAATTGGGTTGGGGGTGGGGCTAGTGACCTGACACTCCTTTGTGGAACAGTGGGGAGATTGGAGACCTAGAGCTGGGAGCCAGGGTGTATGTGTGTGTGGGGGGAGTCCTAGGATGGTGAAGGCTCAAGTGTGAGCCAGGTACTGACTACCCTTAGGGGAGAGGAAGGCCAGCAGAGTGTGACCCAGAAAAAGACAATGAGGAGGGCAGAAGCTGAAAAAGGTGTAAGGGGGAGGATGTGGTAAACTTACTTTAGTGAGAGGCCCTCTAGGATTCTTCTCTCCCTGCTGGCTTCCCCAGCCTCCCGGCTGAGAGCAGGGGAGGCCAGGAGGCTGAGCCAGGATGGTAGTCCCACTTTACCACCCTGGAAACCTGCAGACTATTGAATCCTGGAAAGAGAACAGGAAAAATCAGGGCAGGGGACTCTTATCTGCCTGCTGGTCCTGGGGGCTCAAGAGCCCCTGAAAAGCCTTCCAGTTAGGGAGGATATAAAACAATTCCCAGAGATCAAATCCTATAGAAGGGAGGGAGAGTCAGTGACCATGCCCTGTTCAGGGTCTGGTTAGCCACCCCCTCAGTCTGAACTCCTTTCCCCTGTTTGCTTGGGTCAGAGGTAACAGACTCAGGATGTAGCTGGCATTAATGAACAAACATTGATTGAGCACCTCCTATATGTTAGACACTGTACTGAGGATACAGAGGTAGAAGTCCCTGCTCTCAAGGAGGTGGGGGAGAGAAAATGCAAACAAATATGGACAGACAAGGTATAGATGGAATGAATTGAGGGTAATTAACAGAGAGAAGGCTTTAGCATTAAGGGGGATTGAGAAAGGCTTCCTTAGAAGGTACATATTTTAGTTGGCCCTTTAAGGAAGTCAGGGATGGAAATTATGAGAGAGAATTCCAGGCCTGGGGGACAGCCAGGGAAAATTCCTAGAGTCAGAGATGGAGGGTATTGTTTGAGGAATAGCCAGGAAGCCAGTTTCTGTGGGGAGTTATGGGGGGATGGGTGTCAGAAGATAAGAAAGGTAGGATGTTCCAGGTTAGGGAGGGCTTAAAAAGCCAAACAGGATCTTCAATTTTATTCTAGAGGTGATGAGGAGTCACTGGAGTTGACTGATTAAGGGGGGGTGCCATGGTCAGACTTACTTTAGGACGATCTCTTGGACAGCTGAGTGGAGGATGGCCTGGAGTGAGGAGGGATTTGCAGACCCCTCAGCAGCTGGTGCAGTAATCCAGGTGTGAGAGCTGTCCAGGGTCTGCATCCAGCAGTGTCAGAGAAGAGAGGGAGGGGGGGAGCTATGTGAGAGCTGTTATGAAGGTAAACTTGACAAGACTTGGAAATAGTAGGGGGTAGGGATAGAGAATGGTACCCAGGCTGGGTGTCTGGGGAATAGGGAGAACAGTGTTAGAGAAGTCAGGAAGAGTGAAGGTTTGAGGGAAAGAGACGAGTTAAGTTTTGGAAATGTTGAGTCTCAGATGTCTATAAGACATTCAGTTTGAAGTGTCTGATAAGTGGTTGAAGTTGCAAGACTAGAGGTCAGGAGAAAGGTTGCAGGTTGTGGTCTGGAATCGTCTGCTTGGAAATGAGAGACGAAACCAGAAGCTGATGATGCCACCAAGTTAAATAGGGGAGAGGGAGAAGAGAAGAGGGACAGAACCTTGAGAGACACCTGTGGGTAGTGAGTGTGACCTACATGAAGATCTAGCCAAGGAGACAGGAGGAGCAGTCAGAGAGGCAGGAAGAGAATGGGGGGGGGTGTCCCAAAAACCTGAAGAGAGGAGAGTTTCAAGGTGGAGAGAGTGATCCACAGTGTCAAAGGCTGCAGACAGGTTAAGGAGAATGAGGATTGAAAAAAGCCCATTGGATTTAGCAATTAGGAGATCATTAGTAACTGGAGAGACACCTTTTGATTTTCCCTAGGACTCACTGAAGGCTGATTTCCAGGGCCATCTCTTACTGGCATCTTATTTGCTAGCCAGCAATTCCCTTGGAGATTCCCATCTGTGTTCATTTTTGTTTTTCCAGTAGAATGTGAGCTCTTTGAGGGCAGAAACCTTCATTTAGGTTTTGTATACTCTGGTCCCTCTGCAATAGGAGCATGTTTGATTGAAATGAATTGGGGCTTGGAAAGGGAAGATAACCAGGAAGAAAACCAGGAGGTTTATGTGACCTCAGTTGGGTTCCTTTCCCTCTCTGGGCCTGTTTCCTCATCAATACCATGAGTACTAAAGGGTTTCTAAAGTGTCTTCTAGTTCTAAATCAAGGGTACTATGAATGATTTTATGAATACAGTGCCCCATAAAACAAGACACAAGGAAAAGAAGCTCATTGTAGAGGGAAGGGTGCTAGTGTCTGGGATAGGCTTGGGGAGGATGCCTTCACAGACCTGCCTCCTGCACTAGATAAGGAGGTAATCAGCCAAGGTAATGTGCTGGGAAGGGGAGGGCCCTAGCACCTGGGGTGGCCTTCAGAGTAAGGCACCTTTCAGACAAAGGTCAAGGCTGGAGGGTTTCTCAGCCAGCTGAACCTTGTGATTTAGGGCTCCTTGGCAACACTAGCCTTCTGAGGCCACATACCCCCTTCTCCCTCTCCCCTTCCCCCAGGGCATACCTGATCTGGGGGAGGAGCTGGGGAAGGAACCTAGCAGGGGAGGAAGAAACAGACTGGTTGGAGCAGATGGAGTGCCCTGGAGCAGGAGGTCCTGCTTCTGACCCTTTGTGTGACTCTGGAGAGGTCATTTCACCTTCCCGTTCAGGAGAGCTCTGATTCTAGGTCGCAGCCCAAGGGGCCAAGCTGTCTGGTAGCTCCCTAGACCAATGAAATAACTGGTCCCCTTTGGCTGAGGGGGTTAGCTTTCAAAAGGCCATCTTGCCCCAGGCTAGTCAAGAGGAAAACTTTCCCCACCCGGAGCGCTGTCCTAGGTCCTGCGTGAGGAAGTGAGCTCCCCATCCTTGGGGGTTTTCCTGTTGGGGGAGGGGTGGTCACTCTTCCCGGAAGCTGTGGAGGGCAGCCTCGGTCAGGCTAGGGTTGGACAAGGTGCTGGGGGAGGCAGTGCCAATGTGCAGTCTCTCGTTCCCAGGACAGAAGGACCAACTACGGCTCGGTGGACTCTGAGGGCCCGAGGGTCTGTGCTGGGGGGCAGGACAGCAGCAGCTGCTGCTGCCCCTTCTGGAGGGCAGTCCTGTCTGGGAGGGCTTTGTACAGCGCATGGGAGACTGAGGCTCCGAGAGCCAAGCACCACTCAGTGAACCTATGGCTAACCTCATGTGGGGTCTGAGAGGAAAAGGGTGGGGGGAGGGGCACATGGGGGGAACCGGGGCCTGACCTAGTGTACGTAGCCCTTCTCTTCGGAGCCCATGGGGAGTTGGGGAAACTGAGGTAGCAGGGACCAAAGGGAAAACCAGGCAGGCGGGTCCAGGGATAAATGGGGAGATTGAATGGGGAAATCGAGGCAAGGCAAGCAGGGGGCCAATTAAGAAAACCGAGACAGGGAGAATGTGAGGATGAATGGGAAAATGAGGGATGGGTGTGAGTGAATGGGGAAACTGAGGCAGGGCGGGACGGGGAATGGGGAAAACAAGTAGAGTGTGAGGAGTGAATGGGGAAACCGAGGCAAGGAAAACAGGAGCTCCATTAAGGAAACTGAGCCAGGGTGAACAGGGAAGGGAAGGCAGGGGAGCGGGGGCGAGGCACTGGGGCTAGGCTCCCTCCCCGCGCCCCGCCTGGAGCCACGGCCCCCTCCCTTATCCTCTTCTCCTCCCCCCACCTCTCCGCCTGCTTCTCCCACGACCTCACTCTGTCATTGGCTGTCCACCCGGCTCGACCCGGCCCGCCCCCGCGTACCGATTGGCGGCATTGCCATCTGGGCCCGCCCCCTCGCCAGCGGGTAGGGGTCGCAGCTCCCCATTGGCCGGAGCGGCCCCGCCCCCGCCCCTGGCCCCGCCCCTGGCGCTGTGAGGCCGAGGCTGCGTCCCCGCCATGGCGGCACCCGCGGAACCCCCCGCGCCGGAGCCCGAAGCCGGGCCCGACCCCGCGCCCGCCGGCCCCGCGCCCACCCAGCCCCCCCGCCGCCGAGCCCGCCCCGCGGTAAGAGCGCGTCCCCGCCCCGCCGCGCGCGGCCGCAGCTAACGGTCCTGGCGCGCGCCCCCAGCCCGTGACCGTAACCCGCCTGTGACCATGACCGCGCCGGCCGCCCCTGGCGCCCCCTCCCCCGCTGGGACAGGGAGAGGGTCGTGGGGGGTGGCTCGGCGCGAGGGCCACTACCGTGGCCGTGGCCGTGGCCGGAGCCCGGCCTGGCCCGAGCGGAAGTCTTCAGTGGGGGGCCCCAGGGCTCTGCCGCGGGCCGCCGTGCTCGCGGTCCTCCCCCCACCCCAGCAGGGGCTCCCCGTTGCCGCCAGGCCCTAGCCACGTCCCAGCTCCTCCCTCCGAGAAGCCCTTCCAGCCGGCCGCAGACCCTCCATCCGTCCCGCTCTTTGTCCCTTCCGGACCCAGCCAAACTGACCTTGGTGTTGTCCCCGGGCTGGACCCCACCATCTCCCCTCCCCGTGCCTTTGCCCTCGCCGTCCGCCGTGTCCCCCATTTCCCTGCCGGCCCCTGGAGGCGTCGAACGCTCACTCTGTGCCTTTGAGAGCCGGGGGGACCAGGAGTGTGCAATGCCTTGTCCAGCGCCCGTGGACCCCCACTCGTACTAGACTGTCAGCCCGTGGAGGGCAGGGCCCAGAGCCTGGCACATAGTAGGTGCCCAGTGCATGTCTGGGCACATGGAACTCCTGCATCCTCCAAGGCAGCTAGCTCCTGCAGCCTGGGCTGCGCCAAAACTCTGGTTACAGCAGTGTTCGTGCACTTTGCAGAAGCCCTCTCCAGCAACAGGGACCTGCACACCTGGTGACAGTCCTAGAACGCAGGGGATCCAGGCCTCTCCCACTGCAATGCCCTCTTGGTGTTCTCTTCCCCTGAGTGTTGATAGCTGTCTCCTGAGGGGAGACCAGAAGGGAGAATGTGCCAGGCTTGTGGGGCAAAAGTTGATGCCATGGATGGGGAACTAATTTCGAAGGGGTCGGTTTGGGGAGGTCCTCGAGTGTACCCAGGGGCTTCGAAGGATTCCTGAGGGAGTCGGGAGGTGGTCGGCCTTGGGCTTTGCAGTTGGCAGAGCCGTCAGGAGGGCCGGAGCTGAAGGGGTCATGTGAGTGGAGAGGGAGGCATGGATGCCAGAGAGGTGGGGGAGGAAGGCATGACCCATCAGGAGGGAGTGACTCAAGCTGTGTGTATACTGTTGCTTGGCAAGAAGATCCACACCACTCTGGAACTCCCAGTCTAATGGGGAAGGGAAGAGAGCCCCTGGACCTGGGGATACAGTGGCCACGCAGATAACCTGGCATTGTTTTTGATGATAAAATCACATCTGTTTCTGATGTCAAACTCTTTCCTTTCTGGGTGTTCACTGGCTGCCACCCATGGGGCAGGCAGGCCAGCCTGACTGAGGCAGTAAGACTCTTCTAAGGGTGAGGTGAGGCACCAGCACTCCCCAGACCATGATGAGGACAGCTCAGGACCCTGTGCCCAAGAGGCTTGGAAATAGCAGCACCACCCAGACCACCAGAATGTGTCCAGCCCAGCCCCTACTGCCACCGTTAAAGGAGAAATCACTGAAGAGAAGGGACCCACCTTCCTCCTCACTACCAGTTGCCACCACAGGCAGATAGACGTAGGAACCCAAGGAGAGGCAGTACCCCCAGACCCCCAGCCCTCATAGCCATCATCCAGGGAGGCAGCTCCTATGGAGAGCGTGGCAGCTATCTTTACCACCTGCCACCAAATGCCATCCCCAGGGCAGGCAGGCCAGTCTGACTGAAGAGCTGGGCACCCTGAGGGAGAGATGGGAGGCAACATGGGCCAGGCAAGTCAGGCACCAGCACTACCTTAACCGTCTCTCCTCGGGCCCCAAGAGCCTTGGGAGTAGAGTGCTTCCTGCCCACTGCCCACAGCCATCCCCTTGTGGAGATGGAGCTGGGCAAGTGCAGGGCCTGAAGAGCCAGAAAGGAAAGCTTTTGTTACCAGAGTCCTTGGCCCCGTCAGATGGCTCAGCATCAGAAACCGATGTCATTTTATTGGTAGAAATGACAGTAAGAAGAGGCCTGACCCTCTGCTTGGCCACTACCCCCCAAGAATGAAGGGACTTTCTATCTGAAACCTTCCTTGGGGTTGTCTCCCCCATTAGACTGGGAGCTCCTAGGGGGCAGGAATCTTGCTTTTCTATATGTATTCCCAGCACTTAGCACACAGTAAGTGCACAATAAATGCTTTCTTTTTTCATTTATCGATTCCTTCAGTCCCTGTGGCTGCCTCTCCCCAGAAGCGGTGCAGTTCCCCAGGCTTCTGGGCCCAGGTTCCTGAGCTATCCCTGCTCGGGTCTGAGGGTCACATGGTGATCTGGGTGATAGTAGGGGTTTGACCTGCCTGGCTCATACTACCACTTCTCTTTCCCTGCTGCTACAGCAAGTCTGGTGGTACCCTTGGTAGTAATGGGGAAGCTAGGAGGAGGGAATCAGTCCATTAACAAGCGTTTGTTAAAAGCTTGTTATGTGTTAGGCACTGTGCTAGGCATGAGAGAAACAGATAAAAATGAAAAAGTCTCTGCCCTCAGAGAGCTTCCATTCTGTCATGGATGCCACAGTTACATCAATAAATGTGTCCCAGATAGATTGAAGTTGGAGAGGAGGGCACCAGGGATGGGGAGGGGATGAGAGGTAAGGAAAGACATCCTGGAGAAGGAAGCACTCATGTAAAGTTCTGAAGGGAGTCAGGGACTCTAGGAGGCAGAGATTTGGAGGGAGAACACTCTGGGCATAGGGCACAGCCGGTGCAAAGGTACAGAGATGGGAGATAAATCATGGCTAGAAAGTCAGTCTGTATGGGATGGATTTAGGGGGAAGATAATGAGCTCTAGGATGGGCATATTGAGACTGAGATGTCTGGATATGCAGATTTGAGAGTCACCCGCAGAGGTATGCTAACTGAGCTGATGAGATCACCAAGTGAGACAGTCTAGAGAGACAGGACAGAGTCTAGAGGAGAACACAGGATTAGGACCCGTGGCATGTTTGATGGACTAGCAAAGGAGGGTGAGAAGGAGCAACGTCAGGAAAGCCCAGAGGGGAGGGAGCATCCAGGAGGAGAAGGTGGGCAATGATGTCAGATCTTCGGAGAGGCTGAAAAGGAAGAGGACTGAGAAAGGACCATTGGATGTGGTCATGAAGAAATTAGCAGTGACTTTGAGGAGACCGGTTCTGGTTGAATGATGAGACTATGTGCCATAGAGTGCAGTCTGAGACTGGGCAGGCAGTGGGAAGGGGAGAGGAGATCCAGGATGACAGCTTGAGGGGATGCTAGGATTTTTAGGGATGGGGAAACATGGGTATATTTGTAGGCAGCAAGAAAGGGGCCAGTAGATAGAGAGACTGAAAGAGAGGGCCTAAGACAGGAAGAGATTCAGAGAGACACAGGGAGAAAGGGGGATGATTGAAGGGGCAATATATTGGAGAGGAATGGGATTGGGGCACATGTTGAGGAATTGGCCTTGGTGAGGAAAAGGTACATCTCTATCAGAGAGGGAGAATGGGGGGTGATGTCAAGGACTTATGAGCTCCCAGCTAAAAGAGATAAGGAGGGCTTTGAGGGGAGGCTGGAGGAGAGAAGAGGTTGGAGGACATTTAGGAGGAACTGAAAAAGTCCTTCAGGGAGGAGTGGAAGGATACGCAAGTAGTGGGGAGGCGCTGGTGGTGATGATGTAACAGATCTGTAGTGACCCAGGTCAGCCAGCCATGGGGATGTCCTCTGCTGGCGTCCTCTAGTAGCCAGCTATAGGAGTGCAGAAGGTGGATGGTGGGGGGGTGTTCCAGGGCTGGGGTTTGGCACAATGTAAGGTTATGGCAGCAAGACATTTGATGGGAGAAGATGGTGTCAAGGTGAACTGGGTAAACTTAGTTTTATAATTGTGAAAAGAGCAAAGTGAGGCCTGAGCTGTGATGAGATGGGAAAGCAGGGTTTCAGAGACAGGGAGGAGGAGGAAGAAAAAGAACAGGAAGGAGAGGAGGAGGAGGAAGATGAGGGCGAGGGGGAGGAGGAGAAGAAACAGGATGGGGAGGAGGAGGAAGAGAGGGAGGAGGAGGAAGATGAGGGCAAGGGGGGAGGAGGAGAAGGAACAGGATAGGGAGGAGGAGGAAGGCAGAGTTTGCTCACCCGGGATACTGTTTTCACATTTTTCCCACTAACAAGAGAAGCTGCTCTCTGGCCCCAGCTTGGTAGTAGATGTGATTGTCTGCCAGGGCTCAGTGCCTGGCGGGGCTGCAGCCTTGTCATCCTGGGCAGCTCAGCAGTTTGCCTAGCTCCTTCTGTGACAGGAAACTCACTGTCCTGGGTTATGGGACTTTTACGCAGTGCTGGAGAGAGCTGGAAGGCTCTGGTCTTGTTTGGCCAGGGGCTGGCTTTGGGTGTCAGTGGCCAGAGGGCAGTTGATTGGGGTTGGTCTGTCCCTTGAAAGTTTGCTCCTGTGCCATGTCCAGGAGGTTAGTCCATGCCCTGGGGATTTGGGAATCGTGCCAGCTTAGCTCCAGAGCTGGCAGGTTATCTCAGAAGCCAGCCTGTCCACCCAACATTTTACGTAGGAGGAAACAGGCTCAGGCAGGGTATGGGCCTTGCTCAGATACGTACAGGAAGTAAACCACAGAGAGAGGATTTGCACCTAGGGCTTCTGACTCCAGGGTCACACAAACTTCCTGTCCAGCTGAGGGGAATGAGCCATTCCAGGGGAATGAGTGACAAGGCCAGTTTTGATGTCATACCAGGGCAGTCACTGCAGCCCTTACTCTGCCCCTACCATGCTCTGTAACCTTAGGCAAGTCACTTCCCATCTTGGGCCTCAGTTTCCTTCTCTGGAACAGGATAGGGCTGGCTCCAAGGTCCTGACCATTTCTCCAGTTCTGATTCCGTAAATGATACCTGTGGAGTTCAGAGGGTGGAAAAGTCCTTGTGGGCTCAGGTCTTCCCTGAAATGGAGGGCAGGGCCCCCAGGTCTAAGGGAGGTCCAG